GAGGCTGCCAATATATACAAAAAAAAAAAAAAATAGTTAAAAAGACATATTGTATATATTAATTCTAATCTATTTTTATTCTTTACAACTGTAATAATTTGTGTATTTGGATTGTTTTTAGTTTTCAATTCTTTAACTTTTAATCAATAATAATCTTTAAAAATTCTTAAATTTTTGTTATTAGATTATAAAAAAACTAAAATAATAAGATCATAATCTGTTTATAAAATAAATATTTTATAATATCTATATAGTAATTTTCATTTAAGATATTTATTAATCAAGTTATTAAAAGCTAGTTTTAAATAAATAAATATAACATTTTAATTAAAAATAATTTAAAATTATTTTATTTATAATTTAAAATTACTTTAAATATTATATAATATATTATTATTATAATTATTAATTAATCAAAAAATTTAAATTCTGTTATTATTTAAGTCTTTTGAAATCTGAATCTGATAATCTACCTATCAACTAAAGAATAGATGAAATGTAAAATTTTCTATCTAAAATTTTTTTTCTTACTAAGTTAACAATACATATCTACTAATTGAAAGTTGTAGAGCTTGTCAAGACGTATCTAATAATAGTTAGATCATTTATATCAGCCTAGCCGATAACAAAATATTATCGAAAAATAATTGGTTAACTATATAAAAATCTATAATGGAAATTATATATAAAAATTACTATAGTTGAAATATAGAGTGCTTCTATCTAAAACTTTTTTTCTTACTAAGTTAATGATATATATCTACTAATTTAAAGTTGTAGAGCTCATCGAGACGTATTTAACAGTAGTTAAACTATCTATATCAGCCTAGTCAATAGTAAGATATTATCAAAAAATGATTGGCTAACTATATAAAATCTCTATAAACAAACATTGTTTATATAGAGATTTTATATAGTCAGCCAATCATTTTTAACAATATCTTGCTATTGGCTAGACCGATATGGATGATCTAATCACTGTTAAATACATCTTAATGAGCTCTACAACTTTTAATTAGTGGGCATATATCATTAACTTAGTAAAAAAAAGTTTTAAATGGAAGCACTCCACATTTTAGCTATAGTGATTTTCATATGTGATTTCTGTTACAGATTTTTATATAGTTGGCCAATTGTTTTCGATGATATCTCGCTATCTACTAGGCTGATATAATGATCTAACCACTGTTAGATGTATCTCAACGAGCTCTACAACTTTTAATTAGTGGACATATATTGTTAACTCAGTAAGAAAAAAATTTTTAGATAAAAGATACTATATTTATCTATTCTCTAATTGATAGATAGATTATCAATTAAGTGAATTTAAAATCTACAAAATTCTGAATCTATTTACAATATATTACTATATAATTATATATTAATATATTCTATATAGCTATATACCTAGTATAATATATATAGTAATATATTAATATATTTAATATAATTATATACTATTGTACTATATACTAATTTATTAACAAATATTTAAAGAAGACTTTTTCTTTATTCAAAACAGATATAAAATATTAAATATAGATATATAAATATTATTAAAAAAAATTTAACATATATTTAAATTTTTAGGTTTTCTTTTAGCAATATATTTAAAGAAATTAGTAAATAGTGCATTATACACCGCAGTGCATTGGTTTGACAATCACAGATATGTATAGCGGAGAATAAAAGTATTGATCAAACAATTGCAAATCTGTAATAGCAGAAAGTAAAATATCCTGTAATTGAGTTGCACAAATTATGCATTTAATTAGTATAAATGAAAAATGTAAACAAGGAAAAAGTTAACTCTTTTGCTAACAAAAAGCGAAAGCCAAAGTCTACATAAAAGTAAATATAGCTGGGATAAAAACTCATACAGTACAAATACTTCATCCATTTTTTATTGTTATACTATTTTGTGGTTTATCGACTCCGAGTGTACTTACGTTGAAGTTACTTCTTTCAAGCCATAACAGTAATATTTGTTACATGATTTTTGCTATTTATTGGCCCTAGGGTTATTCGAGATTAAATAATAACAAATAAGGTATACGATAGTCCAAATGAAGTAAGCGGGAAAAACCAAAACGAAGCAAGTGACACAAGTGACGTAGAACAGGAAACTTGGATAAATAAAGCAGGTCAAGAAAATGAAGAAAGTAAGGCCGGTGAAGCAAGTAAAGGAAGTGAGAGCTCTTTTGAAACGTTAAGTCATAATAGAGAAGAGGCAAATAACTTAGATGTAATTTCAGTAAA